AACAATGTCACAGCAAAGAAAAGACCAAGAAGAAACAAAGGAAAACTTTAGAACTAAAAACTACAATAAGTAAAATTTTAAAAAACCAATAGATGGGTTCAACAGCATATTGAAAGGGACAGAGAAAAGAATCAATAAACTTACAGATGGAAACATAAATTACATAATCTGAACAACAAGGAAGAAATACATCTAAAAAATAAAAAAAAATAAAAAAACAGAGAGAGACACAAAGGTATATGGGACTATGGTACAAGAGGTAACATTTTTTGTCATCAGAGTCCCAGAAAGTGAAGAGAAAGAGGGCAAGTCTGAAAAAGTACTCAAAGAAATAAGGACTAATATATGCCAAAAAATATAACATATAGATTCCAGAAGCTCAGCAAACCCCAATCAGAATATATGTAAAGAAATCTTCAGCAAGACCCATTATAGCCAAATTTCTAAAACTAAAGAAGGAAAAAATCTTCAACCAACCTAAGAAACAACCCATTGCCTAATTGAGGTAAAATTATTCAAAGAGCAGTTGATTTCTCTTCAGCAACCATGGAGAGCAGAAATAAGTAGTTCAGCATTTTCTTTTTCTTTTCTTTTTTTTTAAGTTGGAGTCTCACTCTGTCGCCCAGACTGGAGTGCAGTGTCCGCTCCCGGCCACCGCAGCCTCCAGCCTCAACCTGCTGGGCTCCGGCCATCCTTCTGCCTCAGCCTTCTGAGTAGCCGGAATTACAAGCATGCGCTACCACGCCCGGCTGATTTTTTGATTTATTGTAGAGATGAGGTCTCGCTGCCCAGGCAGGTCTCCAACCCGTGGGCTCAGGCAATCCACTCACCTCAGCCTCCCAAAGGCGCGGGATTACAGGCTGAGCCACCAAGTCCGGCAGTTCAACATTTTCAAATGCTGAAGAAATAACCATCAACCCAGCATTATATATCCAGTGAAAATGTCCTTCAGGAATGAAGGAGAAATAATGATATTCTCAGATTAAAGGAAACTAAAATAATTTGTTACCAGGTGACAAACCTAAATTGAAGGATTAATAACATATTTACCTAAACAGAAAGAAAAGGATTAAAATAAAAAAGAAAACCTTAAATATCAGAAAGAAAGTAGAACAACAGGAAGCAAAAGTATAAGTAAATACTTAAAACTAAATGAAAATAAACATATCAAAATTAGTGAAACTCACCTAAACACTACTGAGAGGAAATCTTATGGCACTAAATACTTACATTAGAAAAAAAAAAGTGTATATATCAATTATCCATGCTCTCACCTCAGAAAAGTAGACAAAAGAAAAACCCAAGCAGAAAGTGGAGATAATAAAAAATAAGGGCAGAAATCAATGAAAATGTAAACCCAGGGACAATAAAAAAAAAATCAGAGAAAGAAGTTGATTATTTGAAAAGATCAATAAAATGTAAAAACCTCCAGCTATAATGAGAAACATAAAAGGAGAAAACACAAATTACCAACATTAGTATCAGTGTGTAAACAGTAAACAGATAGTTCTACAAACTCTGCAGACATAAAATTATAAGAGAATATTATGAATACTAAATACATAAATTCAGTGAATTAGATGAAATAGAGCAATTCCTTAAAAAGCACAAACTGCCAAAACTTCACCAATATGAAAAAAAAATAGTCTGAATATTACTACAACTATGAAGGAGCTTGAATCCAAACTTTAAAAAACTTCCCAAAATGGAATGCTTGTACATAGATTGCTTCACTGAATAATTCTGATGAGCTTTAAAAAAACTCCAATTCTACATAATTTCTTCCAGAAAATAGAAGATGTAACATTTCCCAAATAATTTTATAAGACCAGTATTACTCTGATACTAAATATTAAAAAAAAATAACAAAAACAATATTGCAGGCCAATATCCCTCCTAAACACAGATATAAAATTCTCAACAAGATATTAGCAAAGTGAATCCAACAATGTTTGACAATATATATACCCAATGACCAGATGTGATTTATTTCAGATATGTATGCCTGATTTAACACTGGAAAATTAAAAAAATTACCATATCAACATGCTAAAAAAGAAAAAAACATATGATTCTACCAATATGTATAGAAAATGCATTTGACAGAATCCAGTATCTATTTTTGTGTAACACTCTCAGCAGGTTAGCAGTAGAGGTAATTGGAAGGCTGAGGCAGAAGGATCACCTAAGCCCAGCTGGTCGAGGCTACAGTGGCCATGAGCATACCACTGCACTCCAGCCTGGGTGACAGAATGAGACTTCAATTAAAAAAAAAAAAAATCCCAAGGAATAAAAAGCAAATAACCAAAGAAACGTCTAGACTCAATAAGTTTGCTCCAGTAAGATAGCAGTTTGCAAGATCAACATATAAAAAATTGACATTTCTATTTGTCAAGAAAAAAGAAAATTAAATTTTAGACTATAAAATCATTTATAAATGTTCAAAAATGAAATACATTGGTGGATTTAAAACATATTGAACTTACAAATGCATTCTCAAAACAGAACTCATTCGTATGTTGGGAACTTCCTGTACTTAGTTATAAATCTAAAAAGACTTATATAGAACTTGTATATCAAAAGTTAAATTTGCTGATGAAAATAAAAAGAAAATCTAAACAAATGGAAGGGTATACTGTAATCATAGATTGTAAGATAACATAACAAAGATGTCAGTTCATCCCAAATTAATCTGTAAATTAAATGCAATTCTTACCAAAATCCCAGCAAGGATTTTTGAAGACATAGGCTAGCTTATTCAAAACTATATGAAAAAACATAGACTCTAGAATTGCCATAACAATTTTGAAAAAAATAAAGCAGAAAGCATAGCTATCTGATATTAAAGCTTATTATGGAGTTTCAATAATCAAGCCTACTGTATTGGCAGAGGGCTAGTGACATAGACCAATTAAATAGAAGAAAAATAAAGAAATAGCCCTGCATAAGCAGACTACTGATTTTTGACAAAGTTACAAAAGCAATTCAATGGATCAAGCATACCCTTTTCAACAAATGATATGGCTCTGGAGACAACAACAACAAACCTCGACTTGAGATCATGGTCATTAATATAAAAGGTAAAACTATAAAATTTATAGAAAAAAGTAAGAAAAAAATCTCTTCAGAATGTAGGATAGGTGAAGAGATTTTATACTTGACACTGAGTACCATTACTGAAAAATTGATAAATCAGACTTCATAGTAACTAAAATTGTTTTCTCTGCATAAGACCTTTTTAAGAGGATACAAAATCAAGCTACAGAGTTGAAACAATATTGCAAGCCATCAGTGAAATGCAAATTAAAATCACAATAACCTATCACTACACACACCTATAAGAACAGCTACAATTAAACTAACATAGTGACAACACAGGATTCTGGCAAGGATGTAGAAAAATTGGACTATCATATATTGATGGCGGAAAAATAAAATGGTACAACCACTCTGGAAAATTGTTTGGCAGTTTATTATCAAGCTAAATATACACTTTCCATATGATGCAGCAGTTGTACCCTTGGGCATTTGTTCCAGAGAAATAAAAAAGTGATGTCCATAGATAAACATGTACATGAGTGTTCATAGAAGGCTTATTACAAGAGCCCAAAACTAGAAACCATGAGATGTCCTACAATAGATGAAGGGTTACACTATGGCATACCCATACTATGGAATACCACTCAGTAATGAAAAGGAAAGTTGACATATGCTACAATTTGGACAGAAATTATGCTGAGTCAAAAAAGCCGATCTCTGAAGAAAACATTCTATATGATTTCATTTAGAGAATATTTTTGGAATGATGAAATTATAGAGATAGAAAATGGATTAGTGGTTCTCAGGGATTAGGGATCATGGAGGGCAGAGGGTGGTTGATGCAAAAAAGAAACAGCAGGAGAGATATGCCTGTGGTTCTGGGATAATCCTATATCTTGACTGTGGTGGTAGTTATACAAATCTACAAAGTGGGCAAAAGATATGAATAGACAGTTCTCAAAATAAGACATATGATCAGTCAACAGATACATGAAAAAGTGCTCAGTCTCACGAGTCATCAAAAAAATGTAAATTAAAACTACACTGAGATACCACCTAACTGCAGTCAGTATGACTATCATCAATAACTCAAAAAATAACAGATGCTAGAGAGGATGTGGTGAAAAGGGAACACTTATACACTGTTGGTGGGAGTGTAAAATAGTACAACCTCTGTGGACAACAGTATGGCGATTCCTAAAAGATCTAAAAATCGACCTTCCATATCACCCAGCAATCCCCTTACTGGGAATACACCCGGAAGAACTCAAGTCACTCTATCAGAAAGATACCTGCACACATATGTTTATCACAGCGTTGTTCACAGTAGCAAGAACATGGAACCAATTGTGCTGCCCATCAAAAGAGGACTGGATAAAAAAACATGGTACAAATACATGATGGAATATTACGCAGCCATAAAGAAGAACAAAATCATGAACTTCACAGTGGCCTGGATGGACTTAGAGTCTATAATACTGAGTGATCTTTCACAGAAACAAAGAACTGAGTAACACAAGTTCTCACTCATAAGTGTACCTTGATACTTATCATAATACTATAAGAAAAAAGATTGGCAGTAGTGGGAAACTGCTGGGTGGATGGTGAGGAAGCAAGATTGACAGTAGTGGAAATCTGCCTGGGGAAAGGGGGACACACGTCATCAACAAGGGTACCTGAATAATGAACATTTGTATGTCTAACTCTGAATTGTACCCCACATCTTTAAAATAAAAAATTAAAAGTTAAAAAAAATCTACATGTTATAAAAGTGCATAAAGGATATACACAGAATAGTGAGTGTATGTGAAACTGATGAAACCTAAATAAGGCCTGTGAATCATATCAATGTAAATGTCCTGATTTTGATAACACACTATAGTCATATAAGATGTTGCCAATGGGAAAAAGTGGGTGAAGGGTACAGAGGATCTTTCTTTATTCAGAGCTTCTTTCTTTATTCATTTTGCAACTTCCTGTGACTCCGTTATCGTTTCTAAATTTTACAAACGTTTTTAAATGCAAGTAATTCAAAGAAAATTTTTAGTAAGGCACATTCCTTGTTTTTCTCATTTTAATTTAGAATTACTGAACTTCATAAAATGTATAAAATTGTATCTTTCACATTCCTTTATATATTTTAAGTTCACCAGAATGGCTATTTGTAATGATATTTGTATTTTAGTTGGTCCAATACATGAGCATTAGTGTCTCTCTTATTTAAAAATTATACTATTTAGAAAATACATTTCCCATTTAAACCAGGGTCAATAATTTCCAAACACTTGGATAGTTTGAAGTTCCACCAGGTATAAAGTCTAAAAGACTTAGTGCAGAATCTAAGACTATCTCAGGAATAAAGAGAAATTATCTGATTGAATAAACAATATTTACATTATTGTAGTGCCAATAGTTCAAACCCTCCTCCAAATTGAAGTTCATTCTTGTTTGCATGAGCAGAAATATGACAATGCTTTTATTCTAGATGAGATATACTTTAGATTCTTATGATCACAGGATGTTAAAACTACTAATTGCTCATCTGTTGTGTATGGGTTGATTTAAAATGTAATATTTCAGTTTCCGAGATGGATGATAAATTATTTGTTCCACTGTTTCTATAGCATACTAGATTTATCATCAGAGTGTTTTGGACAACTTGCACATAGAAATTTTTCAATAAATACATTTAATTCCCAGTGAAAAAATCAAAAATTCACTATTCCTGCTAGCAGTTTGGAAAACCAGTGACTGTAAAGGGAAGGGGATTTTGCTTTGTCTTTGCTTCCACATGAAGAATCCTAGAATTGACTGTTGAAGAGCATGTAAAATGTCATTAGCATGACTAATTTTGTCAATATATTTGGCAATGCCTGTGTAAAAAAAATCAAAGGCTTGATTTAACCAACCTATCAGTTTAGTCAAAATACTTGATCCCAAACTAAAAATCAAATTTTGGTATATAATTTTGGTCTAAATGGGCATCACTGCCAGCTTCCCAGATTATATAGGTTTTTGCATGTCTGCATATTAGAATCATGCATATGTTTATTGGAGCACAATTCACAATTGCAAAGATATGGAATCAAAGTCCCCATCAACTGATTGGTGGATAAATAATATTACACACACACCATGGAATGCTAGTCAACCATAAAAAAAGAAAAAATAACATCTTTTGCAGCAATTTTGTTGGAACTGGAGGCCATTATCCTAAGTGAGCAACTCAGGAACAGAAAATCAAATACTGCATGTTCTTGCTTGTAAGTGGGAGCTAAGCTATGGGTTTGCAAAGGCGTGCAAATTGGGGACTCAAGAGGGAGGAGGGCAGGAGGGGGGTGAGGCATGAAAAGTTACCTACTGAGTACAAAATACACTGAGTGACAGTTGCACTAAAAGCCCAGACTTGAACACTATACGAGGAGAGACTCCTCAAACAGAATTATCTTTTGGGGGATGGGCCCCTTGTAGTACACTCAGAATTTGTTTCTCCAAATCAAACGGTCAACCAAAGTTTTTATCTGGAAGTTTTCAGAAGGCAGCCTCATGATTTGAGGAAGAAATGTCCCAAGTTATGGCAAACAGGTGACTGGTTCTTCCACCATGAAATGCCTACACTGTACAGAGTGTTCAGCAGTTTTTGACCAAAAATGGCATGACCCTTGTGCCCCCACCCTCCCTATTCACCGGATCTCACCCCAAGCAATTTTCTTTTGTTACCCTCAATCAACAACAACAAAATCCTCAAAGGGAAATGCTTTGCCTATATGGAAGAGGTGGGGGAAAAAAAAAAAAAGCAGAAGCACTAAAAGACACAAAAATTGACAAGTTCAAAAACTGTTTTAGAGCAGTGAAAAAAGCATCTCGTTAGGTGTGTTGCATCAAATGGAGAGTACTTTGAAGGTGACAAGTTTAAACACATAAGAATAAATACACAATTTTTAATAAATAAATTCTGGTTTTGGGGGGTCCACCCTGTACTTGTACCCCACAGCAATTTAAATAAAAAATAAAATAAAATAAAACCCAATGTATAAAATGTAAATTATCATTTGAGTCATGTTTTGCACTGTCACCCAATTTTACAAAATGCAGTAAGGGATGGGCCATATGAATACTCTGATAATACTTCTTTATTTTCTGAAAATTTCTTCAAAATACCAAAGCATTTAAAATTTCCAGAGCTATTAATCATCTTTAAGATCATGGTGATATTACTTAAAACAGATGTGAAAACATATGTTTGCCACAGTTGTATAAGCTGCTCACTTGTCACACTTAATAAATGTTGAGACTCGTACTCTAACTCATTCCCTTTTAATAACTAAAATCTATTAGAGGAAAACATATTTTGCCTTACTATCACAAACATAATTGGTAGAACTTGACTTAGAAAATTCCATTTTAAAAAACTTTCTGCTATAATGGAGATGCAGTTTAAAATGCCACCCCTGTTTATTAATGTCCTCATCAAGATGTGTGACCGACCTATTGAATTAAAATAAGTAAAACTGTGCCATTCCCCAGCAAGAGATTTAAAAATGCCAGTACATACCACTGTGTATTTTATGAAAATCAGTTACTGTACATCTATACTAGTGTTCCAGCTGATTTTTCATAAGACATAACGGTGTATACTTGAGTGCTACAGCACATAGGCCAGTCCTAAATGCCATTTTGATTTATGGGGTTTTAAGTTCTGATAGAATCATATATGTCATGTGCAGCTTGAGACTTTCCTAGACAGGCTGCTTTATTACCAAACTGTCCTTCAAATAATTGTGACTTGGTGGGAAAGAGGTCTCAGGAATAAAATGTTTCCGGGTTATGAATGAAGTTTCATCTTTAACTAGAATTTTATTACCTGTGCCAGAGTTTGGGTAGTTTAATATACTGAGCCTGACTGCTTCTATTCTGACAACTATTCTGAAATCAATCATTTGCATCTTGGAGCTCCAGAGGGTATAACATTTCAATGTCAGGCTAAGAAATGACTAAATATGTGGCAAGGAAACCAACCATGGATCAATAACTTAAAATCACACACTGTTCCAAATTCTGACTAAAATTTTCATTTAGGTAATTATGAAGCAACTTCAGTCTAAAGAAAAAGGAAAATATTCTCCATTAACTCTTCATCTCATGGAATTTTTTTCTCTGTATATTATGAGCATCTGTAGCAGAGATAGAAAACTGTACCCTGTGGTAAAGTATAAACAGATCATCTGATGACCTAATAAATTCCATGTTACCTACTGTCTAACTCATGGTGACAGCAATAATGTATAGCCTATACTATATGGTTATATATTTTCTTTTTATCTTATACTTTCAGCTTTTTAAAAAAATTTAGATTCAAGGGGTACATGTGCTGGTTTGTTACATGGGTGTATTTCATGACAGTGAGGTTTGGACTTCTATCCTTTCAGTTTTTTAAACAAATTTGTACCCAGTTTTCAGATCAGGAGAGCATCACTTTGAAATCCTTATTCTTCCTATCTTTCTTAAACAGATAATCCTAAAACAAAACTTGATACTGTTCAGAAGTGATACATGTAACTCAGCAGATCAAAGCCAGGTTGAGGTCATATTTATCAGTATTACAGGTAAATATTTGATTAACTAACTTGCTAAGCTTTCATTTGCAATGTTGAAATTAGCATATTTTTTAAAATCACTTTCAAGGGTTGAAGAGAGCAGTCTTTCTCCATGATAGCAACTCAGTTTCTTCAAGTATAACCATCAAATGGTGAATTATTTAAATATAATTAATAAAACACATATATATTATAAAGAGAGTCCAATGTCTCTGAGCAGACATAATAAAAGTGCTGAGAATGAAATTTTCAACCACATGCACAAATTTCGCGTTGATGTATAATTTATAACAAAATAAACGAGCTTTGGGTAAACATTTTTATTTATTTTTTTACTATAAAAGAATTTATCCCAAACCAGTATGGATTTATTCTGACTTACAGTAATGTGAATGCAATATAGAACACTGAGATGTTAATTGATTTAGTGCCCAATTATTATATGTACATTAAGTAAGCAAAAATCATTTTACCTTTATTATCCCTTTGGAATTTTTTGATGCTTGGTCCATTATCCTGATCAACAATAAGTTCCTCTCTATTGTTGGGCATCATAACTATAAATAAGAAATGTAACTGAATAATTTCTATTCAAAATACCCAAAAGCAAGACAGAAAAGCATCACATAAATGACCCATATACTCCAGTAACAACTAACATGAGTTTTATATACTTCTACTTCTGAAACACCAGAAAGATTTTTATTTGTCTGAATATTATATAAATAAAAAAATTAATAAGCTTCTTAATCATGTGAATTTCAAAGTATAATTATATACATATGTACATATATAATTGACAACAAAATTATTTTAAAACATTTAAAATAGTTCCTCTTTCAAACTTCAAAAATTCATATGTAAATTAGTTATTTACTTTCATAACAATATAGCTTCCAAAATGTTTCTGAAGAGAATTTACTACTTTATAGACCATGAACTTAAAATAATTATTCATTTAACTCTGTGGAAGTTTTTGCAAATATTATATATAACAAGATTAATAGATAAAAATATGACTTTCTGGTAATTATTATTATTCTTTATTAAAAATTTATATTGAAAGAGTAAAAACATGCTGATTTTCAGAGTTTATCATTTCATTCTCTTTAGCCATATATATTAAAACATTATATAACTTTATTAATAAAATACGGTCACTTTGAAGTTAAAAATCATCAAATTTTTTATTCAATCCTAGAAAATCTCACTGTCATGTTAGGATGACTGTGTAATTACTGCCAGTGGAGTTGAAAATAAACAGTGTTCTTAAGATTTTTTTCTAGAATATTACATTGCTTTGGAAATACTTGAGTTTACTTCTAAGTGTAAGACACTCATTCTCTTACAATATGTCTATCACTGAGTATATTTTCCTATGTACTTGACTTTTTAGCCAGCATTCAATAAATAATTTTCTCCCTATGGTCCTTTTTCCCTTTTTCTCTCTCCTCCCATCCTCATCAATACAAAAATTATATTTTGGTTTCTTGATTCATTCATGGTCAACTGTCTACTAACTGCCTTTTGTCTCGCTCAAACTCACTTGAATCATCGTACACAATGTTGTAACAACCACGTGGAACAGAGTAAAGTTAGAAGATCTATGTCACCTCTTCCAAGAATTAAATTTACTCCCTCAGGACTATTAACCTCAAGCTCTAACTCTCTGGTTCCTAACCCTGACTGCACATAAGAATCTCCTGAGGAGATATAGCAAACCAAAACAAAATATTACTGCCCAGACCCTATTCTAGACCAAGTGAATCAAACTCAAGTTTGTGGTCTTGCAATCCATATTTATAAAAACCCCATAAAGAATTATGACAAGGAGTCAAATTTAAGAATCACTGTGCTCCCTATGAAGTGAAGGAAGCACACACAATATATAATATTGACAGACTAGGTGAGACTTGGATGAATTTCCACAAGAGGAAAATTGTGTTCATTTTTCCCCACACAAATCCTGCACCCAACACCTTACTAATCTCCCAAATTCCTTCTTCTGCCCAAAGCACATTATTTTGTAGAGGCTGGAAACAATCACTACTATGAGCTATAAAAATTTGGAATTCATTTAAAGAACATCATCATACCAAAACTAAAGGAATAGCAGAAATAATTTTCCCTAAAGAAAATGGATACAAGTTTAGATTATGTAGGTATGGAGATGAATTAATGAAGATTTTACTTAGCTCAATTGATCCATAAATATTATATTCTAAATGAGAATTTGTTATGGTAGAATTCACCTGGTAACTTCTGTATAAATGAGTGGTTTCGGACAGTAAGAGAGAATAAGCAATCAAAGTAAAGTCATGCAGAGAAAAGTAATTTTAATCCCTCACATTTCCTTAGCACTTTAGACTTCTGAAGTGTTTTACATGTGATATTTCATCTGACCTCTAAATAACCCAGTGCATTAGGCATTGTGGTAATTATTTCCATATATTAGGTAAAGAAATTCACAGTGGTTAAGTGACATACCAAGATGTTATAGCTAGTTAGTGCTAGTACTATGGCTAGATTTGTGTCATATTAAATGACACATCACCACCAATTTTTCAAATAGTGTCTACGGTGTAAGACTGCTGAGACAATTATATGTATGTGTGTGTGTGTAATTATATAAACGTGGGGAAAAACAAGTTTAATATTTGTTATCTACGTTGTTGAGATTATGGCAAATCATGTATCGAATTGTATTTTAATCACTCTCAAATGATCAACTATTTAATGGATATTTTATCATTCCTTATTCAAAAGAATGCTGTGAATTCAACAAGCGTATTTTATCACATATTGATATCACATACCCTATACAAATTCTATCATATTGTTTCCATGAAATTGATTGATACAGAAAAGAACGGTGTTTGCAGAGAAAAAACTTTTAACAATTTAAGTTTCATTTTGTTGTTCATATTGCTTCAGCAATTAAAAAATGACTAAACTTCAAAGAGTCATTTTTATTAAGGAGGTGTCAGCTCCCCCAGTTTTTCCTTTCCTCTTTATTGTTTAATGAGGTATTTCCTGAAATAATATATTACACTTACTTGTTTCAGGAAAGTTACTCACCCATTCTCTCTGAATGATGATCCATCTGAGAAGGAGAGCTGGACACACTGCTGCTGGGGTGGGAAGAAGTCTGGCTCCCAGGGCGATGACTCTCTTCCAAAGAAGGAGCAGGAGAGGGACTCTCTGGGATCCGCTCCTGACACAAAAGGAAATACAAAAGGAAGCACCATCTGTGTACCAATTTTATGTTGATTGAGTACATAACATTTGAAATGTTGATTTCTCACTTAATCTGAAAGTGTGCACATCCACAATACTTAGTTTTAAATACATATCTTTAGACAAAAACATATTTTTAGTTCTTGTGAAACGAATGAAATGAGAATTAAAGAAGAAAGGGCACATTGTAGAGACTCTAGAAAAGATAATTTCCATTTGTTCTCATATAAAATTCATAAATGATTTTCAACATAGTTGTGTAGTAAAGGTCATTGTTATCATAAGCTTGTAGATGAGTGTAAAGTTCATACCAAGGCACGGAGGGGGATACTACTATCTGATTAAGAAGGAGAACTCACAAATGTAAAGACTTGAGAGTCCTAGAATAAAACTCACAAGTAGTGGCACCTGATACATGTTGAGTTTTTATGCATAGACAAGGGCTATGGAAATAATACACTTGTATTCTATCAGTCCTTAGAAACTTATGTTGAATTCCTCCAGTAAAACATTTTAATAGTCACAGGACATAATTATGGATTTTTCAAACTGACATTAAAATCATTGCTGATTCCTGTAGTAATATATAGATGTTTTTGTTTCCAATAATGAATTTGAATAAAAATCAAATATTTTTTACTTCTGTAGTAACAATTATAGCTCTCTTTGCATTTTTTTATTATGAAAACTTCTACAAAACAATGAAGTTATTCACCATGTTTATACATCACTAATGAATGAATAAATATGAATCATTAGATTAAATTGATTAATATAAGAACCAAATTGCTGTGTTTATGCACATACAAAATTAATGTGACTGGGAGATAAACATGCTGGGACAGATGTTTTACAAAATATTTAATTCATCCATAATAAATTTCTTACATTGATTGTTCTATTATCTATAATCATAAAATCAGTATTCTAATCATCATAACATTAAGAATTAGTTTGTCAGATATGTTCTTGTACATTTTCACATTGATTTTGCATGAGAAACTCAAAATTTATAAATATGCTTAAGAAAAACTATCCAATGCAAAAATAATAGCATGAAAGTTAAGTTATTATTTCATTATTGTGGTTAATATTATGCAATATCTGTTATTGTGGCTGGCAGAATGATGGCACCTCCCCTTCCAAAGATCTACAATTCACATCCTAATCACTGGTACCTGTGTACTTGTTAATTCTCACGGCCAAAGGGACTTTGCACATGCAAATGGGATCCATGAGATAGGGATATTATACTGGATTATTTTGGTGGGCCCAATCTGACCTCAAGCGTCCTTAAATGTGGAGGATACAGACAGATAAGAGGGGTCACCATGATGCAACATTGCTTGTTTTAAAGATGGTGGAAGAGAGTCCTGACCCAAGAAATGTGAGTGACCTTTGAAAACTGAAAAAAGGAAAAGGAACAGATTCTTCCCTGGAACATACTGAAAGAAATGTAGCCTTGCCCATACCTTGCTTTTAGCCATAAAGACCCATGTCTGACTTTTGACCTAAAGAACTCTAAGAAAATAAATTTGCATTGTTTTAAGCCACTAAATTTGTGACAGTTTTTAAATAGCATTTTACATTATTGCTGAGCATTTTATTAACATTCAATAACTTTACTGAAATGAATAGCAAACTTTGAGAATATTAGCTGCAGTATTATATTATTTTATATTGGTATATTTTATATTGGTATAAATACCAATAATTTTAAATATGTGTTACATTTTAAAGACTTTGGAATTGTTTTCATGCATCAAAAACAATGTTTAATTTAATTTAATTATTTTTATTTTAAAGATGTGGGGTACAATTCAGGATTATGTACATAAGCAGTCATTGTACAGGTAATGTTTAGGCCTCCCTTGGGTTTCCACTTCACCTAGTTTACGATTAGGTGCCCATATTGATGTTATGTATTTCCAACTCCCTCCCCTGGTGGTTTTTCACCAATACCAATTCTTTCTTATAGTATTAAGATAAACATTCAGGGTCCGCTTATGAAAGAGAGCATGTGGTACTCAGGTCTTTGTTCTGTGATAGATAGATTCTAAATTCATCCAAGTTGCTGCAAAGCCCATAATTTGGTCCTTCTCTATGGGGGCAAAATATTCCGTCATGTATATATACCACATTTTTAAAAATGCAGTCCAATTTCAATGGGCAGCATGGTTGGTTCCAAGTTTTTGCTATTGTGAACAGTACTGCAGTAAACATGCATGTGCAGGCATCTTTTATTTAGAATGATGTGAGCTTCTCTGGTTATATTTCCAGAAGGGGGATTGCTGGGTTGTTAAGAGCCAGCCTTGGAGGCCCACCAGAATGACAGGGTCCTGGTGACCCCGGGCCACAGGCACTGGAAACTCATTATCCATCTTTCCACTTCCCACTACGTTGTTTGACCTGTCCCTTTTGCCCATGTGATGACTCTGAGGCATGTTTAAAGGACTTTCTTTCGCTTGGTCATGGGTTACAGATCTTGTTTTTAGGGTTAGCATTTGTGACTAATACCTGGTAAAAAGAGGTTTCTGATTTTGTTTAGGAAAAGTATTGTTCTGAATATTTTTGCTTATTATTTGTAGTTGTAGTTATGGTGTTTGGACATAAGGTTATATAGGCATAAGATTTAAGTGTAAGTGAAAGTTTATATTAAGGTATATGTAGGTGATTTATAAGTTTGTTTTGAGATACATATTAAAGTTTTAGTATATAAAAAGTTAAAGGGTTTAGATGTAGAATTTAACTGAGTAAAAGAGGATTTATCTAACAACCAAAACTACCTTGAAGCCTGAAGAACATCACTAGAAGTTTCTTCTAAGCTGTTTTTTCCTTAGAGATACGATGTTCCAGATAGGAAAACAATAAAGGAATTCGAACAAGAGGAAACTACCAAGGGGTTTGAAAGACCAGAGAGTTTTTAAGAAGAAACTCCTTGTCCATGAAAAAAGAAACATCTGCACAGGCACTTCTAGAGGATCTCCAGGTGCACATTCTTCCACCAGATGGAAATATTCTACATATGAACTGCTCCAAAACCCTGGGCCAGAAACTGTTGTTCTGGCCCCCAGAGACTTTATTATGGAAAAATCTGTTTCCCTGGATAATTGGAATAAGGAAGTTAAGTTTATAAAGAGTTAGATTTGTTAGAAAGGTTATAATATATATTAGTTAATTTGGGATATAAATTTTGTTTTAAGTAGAGTTTAATGAAAAGCTTTGTAATTTTATAATTTTAAGATTTTATATTAATGGGTTGCGGAGACTGTTTTTTACAGGATAACATCATTGTGTTGGGATAATGTTGTTTTGGGTGGAAATAGTCTCTGTCCTTAGGACATTAGCCAAGCACCGAGAAGAATACTTAAACTTAGCCGGGCTCGGTGGCTCAGCCTGTAATCCCACGCCTTTGGAGGCTGAGGTGAGTGGATTGCCTGAGCCCACGGGTTCGAGACCCGCCTGGGCAGTGAGACCTCCTCTCTACAATAAATCAAAAAAATCAGCTGGGCGTGGTAGCGCATGCCTGTAATTCCGGCTACTCGGAAGGCTGAGGTGGAAGGATCGCCGGAGCCTAGCAGGTCGAGGCTGCGGTGACCGGGAGCAGCACTGCACTCCAGTCTGGGCGATAGAGTGAGACTCCAACTCAAAAAAAAAAAAATACTTAAACTTAAGCATCATTTTAACATCACAAAGAATCCATGTAATTTGTTGTAAGTGATTTGTTTTGCAATGATGATTTTAACTTGCTCTGTAGCAGTAACTTGCAGAGATTATTTCCCTTGTAGAGAGAAATATAAGCTAGCTACTATTCGCAATAAAATGGCTTCTGCTCAGATCTGAACAGTTGTCCAAGTCTCTCTCTTTCTCTCTTTCTCACAATCGCCGACGCCATATGCACCTTTGGGAATCTCTGGACTCTGCAGGAGCAGGACTCTGGCACTGGGTCATATATGAAAGATTGATTTTTAGATCTTTTGGAAATCGCCACTCTGTTTTACACAGAGTTTGTACTAGTTTACACTAACACCAACAGTGTAGAAAGGTTCCCTTTTCCTCACATCCTCTCCAGCATCTGTTGTTTTTTGCTATTGATGATGGTCCCCCTGACTGGAGTTAGATGGTATATCCGTGTGGTTTTTATTTACATTTCTTTAATGATCAGTGTAGCTGGACATTTTTTTATGTATCTGTTGGCTGTTCATATGTCTTTTTGTTAAGTATCTATTCATACTTTTGCCCACTTTATAATAGGACAGTTGTGGTTTTTTGTTTTGTTTTTTTTTCCTTTTGGCATGTTTGAGTTCCTTGTAGTTCCTGGATGTTAGGCCTTTATCAGATATAAAGTTGGCAGATATGTTTCCCATTCTGTGGGCTGTCTCCCTCTCAATTTATTTTGCTTTGCAGAAGCTTTTCAGTTTGATGAGAACCCACTTAGCTATCTTATCTCTTATGCATGGGCATTTGGGGTTTTGACCACAAATTGGTTGCCTATTCCAATTTCCATAATGGTGTCTGCTGCATTTTCTAAGATTCTTATAGTTTGAGGTTTTATGTTTAAGTCTTTGATCCACTGAGATTTGTTTTGTATGGTGATAGGTAGAGGTCCTGTTTCAATCTTCTGTATGTGATCGGCCAGTTCTCCCAGCAGTGTTTACTGAATAGGTTCTCCTCTTCCCAGTGGTTGTTGGTGGAGGATTTGTTGACGATGAGTTGAGAAATTGAGGTTTTGCTTCCAGAATCTCTATCCTGTTCCACTGGTCTTTATGCTTGTTCTTGTTCCAACACCAGGCTGTTTTGATGATTGTACTCTTATAGTAAAGTTTAAGTCTGAAAGTGTGAAACCTCCTGCCTTGCTTCTTTTGCTAAGGATTGTTTGGGTTATTCTTTGTCTTTTATTTTTCCATATGAATTTCTGTATTGTTGTTTCCAGTTCTGAAAAGAATGATGTTGGTAATTTAATGGGTATTATGTCAA